AAGTTACTGTAAGTGGATGATTATAATTAACTGTCAACTATCTCCACCATAAATAGCAGATAAGAAGTTATTTTAGTCATAAGTTCTGTTGGATAACTGAAATAAATACATGTTTCTGAGCTTATGATGAGATCAGGCCCCTTAAAAATGTCTGTCTTGCAAATTGCATGTCAAACCTTTGACTTAGATAATTAGCTTAGGTAGTTTATACTTCTGATTTAGGTAATTAGTTTATCATCTCTTCTTCCTACTAAGACGGAAGGCTTAACAGAGGTTTGCCACTGGGTTCAGCCAAACTATTGAAATGAAAATGTTCTCTTGTTACAGAAGACATTTTTTGGAAGAAGAGATTGAAGGAGAGGCTTGGTCCTTACAAAGATAGATTTATTTATTTTATTCTTCCTATTCATTAAAGAATTTCTTCTTGGGAGTAAACAGGTAAATGCTAAAGTAAAATACCCAGCAATTAATCAAACAGTATCATGCTCACACTTATTTGATACCTGTTATTTGCTGATACATGCCTTTCTGTTGTAAAAATGCATTCCAGATGAAATTTAATTCAAAGATAAATATCGCATAAAGATACTTCCCAAAGCACACGCTATAAGTCATACTACTGTTACTAGCATCCCTTAAACAGGTAAAGAAGTCATAAGCCTGCTTTACCTCTTCTGTATCCGGGTATTTTCAGGCCTTTATAGCAAAGCAGCTTTTATAAATAATTGCTAGTTGTTGTATGCCAATCATATGTAGTCCAGAAAACTTTGTTCTTTTCCTGTGACAGTATGAGGGGGTTAGACTAAGACTAGAGAAAACTGAATAGATAAGACCCGCTGTAAGGTGTCTGCACAGAATGCTGGTTAACCTCTACTGTTGTACTTGCTACAGCTGATTTGGTTATTGTTCAGGTAAGTTTGGTGCTTTTTTAAAAATCACTGTTTGGCAAGGAAGGGGAAAAGTATTTTGTAGTTTGCATCAGTTCCACGTGTACCTTAAAATTATTTTATTAAATCTGTATTTTGCCCAGTTTGCTTATAAGGATGTTATATGGGCTGTAATATACCTTGGATATATCACAATTCTGCTCTATCAGCAAGGCCTGCTACTCTGACACAGAGAAAAGCTAAGCAAGTTTGTTCTGCTTTGGTATTGCTCTCTGCACACTTGATGCTAGGTGCTACAATATGTTCTCAGTGTAACTTGACATTTCTTGAAATTAAAGTTGGGCTAGCTCCTATTCAATTTCCTGGCTTCTACTCTCCTCCTCTTCTTCTTCCTTCTCCTCCTCCTCTTGAGACTGGTGTCATTCACCCACTTTCATTTTTACAGGACTTTACCTGTTCTCCATTCTGCTCAAAGGGACTCTCTGACAACAGAGATTGTCTTGCAGATTTTGTTAAATTACTGGAAGGGTTAGCTTTAACAAGTCCAGTCCATTGCAAAACGTCTGATTTCTTTAAATAGTCTGTAGCCTTTTTTCCTGTTCCAGCCTGTATGTTTTGCCCCTTTGTTGCTGCTTTCAGTAATTTGATTGTTTCTGTTAATGAAGGCTGGAAGAAAAAACACATGCATCACTGAAGCCCTTTCAGAATGATCTTGTGCTTTTCTTGGGGATTGGCACACTGTCTGTTTCCTTGGGCTTCCTTTTGCTATCAACATGCTTTTGCAGTGCCTGCTTTTTAGAACAAGTTAGGAGAACGAAATGCTCATACTGTGTTTGCCCTGTATATTTGAACCAGAGTTTGACTCCCTGATTGAACCCTAGCATATCTTTGACAGCCAGTTGTTACATGTACATTTTGTGTCTTGTGCAACACAATTTTGGCATTTAAAAGGTTCACAAGATATTTACCTTCATGGGAAACAGTCGGGTAGAAATGTATCTCAATACTGAAGTGACAGGTGACTTTGAAGTGCGATAAATGTGAAATTAAGTCTTTATAATATTTGGGTTTTTACATAATTTGTAATTAGTCTTTGAAAGAAACAAAGATGCTTAAATCCTTACCACTGATAGTCTTCCCCCAACTCTGTGGCTCACTGTCTCTCCTAAGAATAAAGAATTGGTTGGTGGGCTGTGGGTTTGGTTTTTTATCATGTTTAAACATTTCAAAGTTTCTCATTTCTTTGGTTTGGTTTATTTGAGAATGACATGAAGTGAAAAAGAAAAAGATAAAGAGTGGATTTTGATAGTTAATCAATGGTGTCTTTGGCTCAGTTAATATTTTTGGAAAATTGACCGTTATATGCCTAGATGATTAGATGTTATTGCTTGTGTGCATTATACTTGTAGATGTACTGGGTACGTATCTTCAGAACTGCGTGAAAGAGGTTACATGAGTTTTTTAGCAAATATCCAGGCCTTTTGGCTTTCTTATCCATTCTGATAGACTCAGCAGAATGCAAACTTCATGGTATTGTGAAATACCTGGCCAGTTTAATTGCATATTTATCTGGCTGAACATGAACATAGATCAGAGCAAAGAAAAAATTAATTTTTCAAATAACATAGTGATGTGGCTAGCCTTTATAATCGTTCCCATGCTCAGTGCAACTGTATCTGATAGCATTTACCATAAGCTTCTTTTAGTAGTTTTATCTTCTGCTCATTGATCTATTTCTGTGAGATCTTTTAGCACTACAAATGATGTGTTGATGGTATTGCTCAGTCAGCAGTCTTTGCTTTTAATGTCAGAATTTCTGTGGGGATCCTTCAAGGCTCCCTGCTTTATCTGCTTTCTGCTTCTATAACCTATTACAAAATTTTTTTTAGAAGTCTGAAGATACTTTCCTCACCTTTGATAGTGAGAACTCCGCTTTCCCAGCCTGTGCTTTGTTCCATCTGCTGTAGACCATTTTTATGTTTGTGTTTGACGTCTTTGGGAGACACAGAACTGAAAGAGCCTTTCTGATTTAGCAAATCCACCTCCCTGTTGCCTTGGGCTGTCACATCACAGGAGGCATCTGTCAACTAAAATCCAAGATAGTTAAAGTGGAACTTGTGATGTTCTTGTTCCTCCACACTTCAAACCATTTTAAACAGCTTGGACACTATTATCTTCCCAGTTGGCTTATATTCTTAATGTCACTTTTGGCTTTCATCCAAGCAGTAAACACATTCTGGTGCTGCATTGTCTATAGCAGCAAAGTTTTGATCTTTCTGCTCATTCTGTATCACTCAAATTCTTACACAAGTCCTTACACATTTTGACATAGTCAATTTTCACCTGTCCTGTCCTTAATTGCTGTAGTATAACCATAATGGGTCTGTCAGGTATTTTGCTACCAGAATAACTTCCCTCTTTTTTTTCCCTTTTCACCTGATCATCTGTGCAGTACCTTTTTTCTTGGCTTTTCTAGATCTACAATACATTTTCTTCCTTGTCTCAATCCTGATATTTAGAATGAGCGAGACCACCACTTGGTTCCATCAATGTTTCTAGTGCTCACTGCTCTCCTTTTCTTTGTAGGCAAAACTGTCTGAAAAACATGTGAATAGCAATTATTCTATTTCATGTCACTCCTCACAGTTGTTCTCTGCTGTGAAGCCTAGAAGAAACTCCTGGTGACTGTTATGCTCAACTTGAGTCTATTTTTCTTCATCCTGCTTCTGATTCTTTAGTTACTTCCCTGCAATTGCCTCTCAATTTATTTCTATCTCCAATTGGAAAAAAACCCCACAAACTGCAAAGCTGCTTTATTTATTATCATGTTTTTGGCTTCATCTTTGGCTAGTTTTACAGCAATCTGAGAATTACGCTAATCTGTTTTTGAGTCTAACTATAAATGTCATGTTTAAGCATTATTGTTGTCATATTGGTTGTGTGTTCATACGTTGATCGTTGCTTTACAGCAGACATGTTGTGCAGCTGATTTTGCTTTTGAAGAAATTAACTTTTACCACTACTTTGTCACTGTGTTATTGACCAAATTTATTACCATTCCATACAAACAGGCTGATTTGTTGTAGCACTTGTCTGGCCACAGAGTTTCTATCCCCAGGGTCATGGAAGGCTCTTACTTAAAAAATCAGTGCCATATCATGCCTGTCTTCTTTATCTGTTCTGGGTTCTATATCACCTTTGCTTTGTAGCATTTCTCATATTTTTATAGCCTATGTAAAGCAGTAAGCATGGTATGAGTAATTAATCTAAAGCCAGAACTACAGTTATGTTTTCATGTCCTGATATGGTTTTGGCAAATAGCTAAGCTTCAGGGGGTGTCCATTTATATACCTACTTAGACCAATATGATAGCTCTCGGAATTTCTTCCTTGTGTGATTCCTCTTCTAGCTGTAACTGGTACTTATGTTCCTCAAATGTAGAGGTGGGGGTTTTCCCCTCTTTTTTTGTTTTTTTTTTTTTTCTTCCCCTCTTCCTTTCCCCCCTCTTCCTTTCCCCTCTCTTTCTCTCTTTTTTTAAATTTTGCAACAGGGCACTGGTCTAACCTGTTTCTTATTACAGATTCTTTTCCTGTGCTGTGAACATTTCCTTGCTTTCTACGATCAAGATGTCTGCAGGATAGATATTTTCATGGAATGATGACTTGTTTAAAAACATCATTTGTATTTTCCTTAAGTTATCTGCAGTTCACATAAGCAGTAAAGCCCATGCATAAGTAATATTCCTTTGGTTTGTCTCCGTATTTGGTTGCTGTCAGATTGAAGATACTATCTGCAAGAGTGAGAAGTCAGTCTCCCAGTAGGGAGTTGGCTAAAGCCTGCATGGGTGTTAAGGTGTAGTAAGAAGTTTTTTTTTCTGGCCCTTTTTTTTTTCCGGAGATAGATATTGATCTATGTGATATGATTTTTTTCACCTGTTTGAACACCACACTGTTGAAGTAGAAAACTCTACAGTTGTCTTTTGATTCAGGCTTGATTTAAATTACACTTTAGAATTAAAAACATTCCTTCCTCTTACCTGTCATCTGAAACTGCTCAGCTGGAGCCGTTTGTGCTGTTTTTGTGGTTTTTCAGTTGTTTAATTCTTTGTTTTAGGAGGTCTCTGCTGATCCCACAGGAACCCTCACAGCTGCTGAAGAGAGAAAGGAGAAGGTGCCAAGCCCACATCTCAGTCATCTCGTAGTTCTGACATCTGGCAATTCGCTGTATGGTTTGGCAGAGAGAGTGGTGGCCACAGAATCCTTGTAGGTTATTTACTGTACACTGCATTTTGTAGTCACTGGAAGCTATGGATTGTTTAAGAGATTGTGTTTACAATCCAAAACCTTCTTGAGAGGTCAAAAATTCCTACCTATCAATGTGATTTTAAATATGAGTGGTAGAGGTAATTTATTAATTAAAGTTAGTAAGGCCTAACCATCTGGTCTAACCACCCACAAGCACAAGCAATGAAATTTTACTACAGCTGGTCCAGTAACTTGTGACAGTACAAGGAAAATCTAACAGGAAAAAAGTTTAAAATTAAAGAGGCTAATGGGAGTATTTAATCTGTATGGTTCATTTAAACCTTATATTAAGTGCTCAGATGGTGATGGCTGAGACTCAAAACCGCTTAGTTCATATTGGTTTGGCTTGGATTGCAATGTTCTTTGCAATGGGTGGAAGTATACCTGTGAAGAAGGGATTATTATGAGCAAGTAACACAAAACTTAGGAAGTGTTTTTTATTTGGTCAGAACAATAGTAAGAGTTAGGTAGAAATTACTCTTTTCCCCACACAAAATGACACTTAAAGATTAGAAGTTCATTTTTAAAATGTATTTTCAAATGAGCTTTTTTTTTTTGCATTCATTTATGCTTAGTTAGAAATGTATTTCTTCATTATGTTGTTATTAACAAATCCTACCCCTGAGAAAGAATTTGATCCCATATTCTGTCTTTGAAAGATTCACTAGTATATAAGTAATTAGGAATATTATTTTGGAATTTTGATATGGATTTATTAATATTAATGTTGACTGCCCTGCAGTATGGAAATTATGGGACACATCCACTGACTTTACTAGAATTTGGATCAGACTTTTGCAGTGTATCCTGAGTAAAATAGAAATATGAATTGTTGATATTCAAGCCTTATTCTCTATTCAAGCATTTTCTTGTTTGCAATCATATTTTAAAATTGTCAGAATTGAGAATACTTGTTGATATGCTGGCATGAAACTGATGTGGTTCTTCTCAGGACTAAATTTTCAAAGGTTACATATCGTTATTGCCAAATATGTCAGCTGTAGAGTAAAAGTTGTACAGAGACATGCCAAATGTTGCGTTTAGTTCATAGTAAATTTTCTTTGCTTTCAAAGGGTATTTCTGGCTGAGCAGTTTGAGTTTCTTCAGCCTCATCTTGATGCGGTGATGCCAGCTGCCAAGAAACCTTTTCTTCAGCAGTTCTATTCTCAGGTCAGAATTGTAATTCACAGCTGATTTTTAAACAGAAGATTTGAAACTTGTACAATATGGTGCAAATGCTTGTACATCATAGTTATATATTGCTCTTATTAGCCAGAAGTTTAGTGAATTGAATTTTATTTATATTCTGTTTCAGACAGTGTCAACTGCCAGTGAACTACGTAAACCAGTTTATTGGATTGTTGCTGCTAAAGCCATTGATTATGAACAAATGCTGCTTCTCATGGCTAATGTGAAATGGGATGTGAAGGAAATCATGTCACAACACAATATATATGTAGATGCTCTTTTAAAGGTGAATACTTTCTGGGAAATGGTGTGCTACAGTTTATATAAATGTTAAATTACAGTAATACTTCACTAAAACTGTTAAAGTAGCATGGTTAGAGCAGTACAGCATCCTGACAAATGGTAAGTTCTTATAAGGAGATCTGTCCAGAATTTTCATTATTCTTGCTGCTAGCAGGTTGTTTTCAGTGATGTTTTTTTCACTACATGGTGGGTGAAAGTGACCACAGAAGTTTAATGAGTTTCATGTCTAAGTCTTGAATGGTGGATACATGTGTAGTAAACAGAGTACTATTGAGGAAAATCCAGTGGCCTGAGATAGTGGATTTTTTTAACAAAAGCTATTTGCTGTTCTGCATAATTTTAGCAGTTGTCTGAGATGTATGGTAGGGTCTATGGGTCAAACCAGAACTGATAATGAATGATTGTGCACTTTCTAATTGAAGTTGCTATATTTAGAAGTTAACATTTGAAAAGGAAGGTAAAAGGGAAGTTATTCATACAACTTCTCAATTGCATTCAGTTGAAGTAGTTCTACAATTGCGGTGTGTTATGGCATATAGAACCAGTTCTTGGGAGAATCCTTCTCTCATCCTTTTATATATGCCTAAATGGTGTTTCTGAAATCTTTCGAAGGAAGTTCTGGCAGTGGTAGAATTACACTAATTCTCACAAAGAAACTGAAAATTTTATTTTAAAGATATGTGCAGTATGTATCACAAAAAAAGTTATGCATCTGTGCTGAATAACAGTTTTGATTACACCTTTGTACTTTGTAGCTGTTCTCTGCTAAAAAAAAAATCAGCGCAAAGAAGGGAGAATCTGATAAAGGATATATCATTGCACTGAATTTGACTGAATCTTTGTGACTACCCTTCTTTATGCTGCCATGGCTTTTTGAAATCAGTTTGTACTTACAACATTTGGTCTCTGCAGTAGAACTTTTTTATTTTCTGAGTGTGCAACTGCTGATGGATTTACTTCAGGACAATCGGGGCTAATACCATTTAAAACCACTTCTGGCCTCTACATTATATAGGTAATAAGAGTTGCTACAGCAGCTTTTAGATTACTGCTAAGCAGCTAGTGTTTTGCTGTGTACCCTGGGACTCCCAGAGTGTCAGATGCAAGGACAATGTTTAATGTAATAACCAAGTACTTTAAGCCACGTGCACACATATGCAAAATTCTATATTCAGCCATAGTATGTATGGAAGCAGATAAAATGGGGAAAGAAGATTGTTCAAGAAATTCATTAACATGGAGCATTAGGCATCTTCATCTTCAGAAGAGTGAGTTGTATGCATGACTCCTTCCTCTTGCCAAATTCCTCTTTCAGAAAATTTGTGTTAAACACAAATTATTTGGTCAGATACTAGGTTAAATTGGTTACTGAGATTCCCTTTTGATTTTCTTCACTTACTGAATTTTTGATGGGGGGGGGGCGGAAAGGAGGAAAAAACCACCTAGATTAACAGCCTTGGAATGAAAGCACTTTGTTGGACAAGTAGGGTCTTAATAGGCTGCAGTACAAACTGCTTTTGCTGTTACACAGAGCAGTTCATTATCAATCTGCTTTATATTTAAGTCATTTCATACTTTTTTTAAATGATAGAGGTGTTAGTCACTCACAGCAGACTTCACAAAATCTTTGTAACAGTAATTACTTTCAGTTATGAGTGGCTTGTCACTCATAGTAACAGCTCAAATCCATCCAGGCGATTGATGTTTTAGGTGGAAACAGGTGCCTTCCCTCAACCTGAATTGTTAGCTAGTTTTGCAGTATGCTCCTAAACTGTTAATTTGAAGTCTTTTCAGTGGGTGCTCTCAGCTCTTTTTAAAGCACCAGGGAACTATCTGATGTGAAAGTTTGAAGAATGAAAAGTGGTTACAAGATTTCTGAGCTTCTCTCTGAATGCTGGTGGGGCAGGTATTCAGAGGGATAAAGAGATCATCACTGGATTTTCTTAAGTGGCTGTATATTGTCTTAAAAAAAGTTATGATGAGTTTAGGGAGTGAGGCAATGAAAATGCTATTTTAAGGATTAGCTACTTGGTTAATTTTCAGAGGTGTCAGTTTTGCAGAGAACTAGACCTCTGGGGAACAGAGCAGTATTTCCTTTTAAAAGAAAAAAATTACTAAGGTAAATGTAAATGATATCCTAGAAAGTGGTATGGTTTCTACATTACACATTAAGCTTCTCTCTACAGTCTGTGCCTATTAAGATTCTCTGCTTTGCTCTTATTTTTCAGTATTCCCTTTCACATGGATTTCTAATTCTTTGTTGTTGTTGCTAGGGATGTATAGAGTATGATCCCTTTATGCTAAAGGAATAATGATTTTTCATGTTTCATCAGGAATTTGAAGAATTTAACAGAAGGTTGAACGAGGTGTCTAAGAGAGTCCGTATTCCACTGCCTGTCTCCAACATCCTTTGGGAGCACTGCATACGCTTGGCCAATAGAACTCTCGTGGAAGGGTAAGTAGTTCATGAAAGTCTTGCTTTTGGGTAAATATGTCTGTAATAACAACTTCTTATGGAATTAAAAGTTCTAATTTTGTAGTGCTGCGGTAAGCTCTTGAGCTTTTGGGGAGGCTAAAAAATATCAAGGCTTAACATAGTCTTTAGCAGTTGTTTCATGGAGTCTGGTACAGCATTAAGCCTAAAGGGGATGGTCTTGTACCTAGATCCTGCTGAAGAATGAAATTGAGTGTTTTATTGAAGCATTCAAAACAACATAGTTCTCTTTCAAAGAAACTTTGTCTGAAAATTATCATTTCCTGACAAAGCAAAGAAGAAAGTTAATTGTCAACATCTCTGTGGTGATTCCATTTGTCTTTGCCAGGAAGATGGATTTGTCAACCCCAGCAGTTATCAGAGAGTAGCCATGGAGCAGGATTTTTCCAAATTCATCAGGAACAGAGAGGTGTCTTTGTTGTCTTGGTCAATAGAGGCTCAAGCACCTTAGTCAGGAGCTGCTACACCTTGCTCATCTCTCCCTCTTAGTCAGCGTCCCAGTCTTTTCAGAGCCAATATTGTAGCCTGAGTATTGTAGTGTTTTCATCCACTGCATTTATTTTTGTGTTCTTGTCCCCTAGCTACATAAGTCTGGGCTCTCATCACAACTTCTTCTGCATCATAGAATATGTGCTGTCTTCCACTCCTTCTACATATGTTTCCTTATTTCTTTCCTGGTTATCTTTACCCTATGCACTCCCTACTACCTGTTTTACTTCTTTTGATCCCACTGTCCTGCTGTCTGCTCTAATTTAGGACCTCAACAACATGCTTCTTCTCCAAGTGTTAGCTGTCTGTTGAGGATCATCAGCTTCCACTGCTTCCATCAAGCCATCATTTTTAAACTCATGCCTGTTTCTTTTCATGCAATCATCCTTTTGCAGTCTCTTGAGAGATCACTTTCATCTTCAGGGAGACTAAATCCAACCATGACCTCCCTCTGGCTTCTCAATTCTTTCATATGATATATGACCTATACAACTATCTTTTCTTTTTGAAATTTTATTTTCCACTTATCATGCCTCAAATCAAATGAAGTGGAACAAAAGCATCTTTCTCCTCCTCCCCTTGTCCCCCTTTCCTTTCAAGTGGGTAACACCATCAGTCACTATCAACTTCCTCTGCCTCAACCCTTGTGCCTGTTTTGGACTTGTTTCTTTTTCTTACTTCACACTCTTACTCGCCTTTTGTGACTTCAGTGTTCACAAACCACTTAATTCTTAGCTCTGAAGATCATCACTCATATGTCTTGCTCCACACTGCAGTTTTGGTTCACACTTGTGACTTACCATGAGACTTTGACCTAAGCATTTCACTGACTGGTCAGAGTGGACTGGGAATACCTTGCTGATATGATTTGTCCTGTGCCTTTTCTTAGAGTGTAAAGAATGCTCATTATCATCTCCCAAATACCTGCCAGTAATTTCTCATTCTTGCTCAGTTCTTCTTTTCTCACATATCTCGTAGTTTCTTTTGACACTGGGGAAAGGGAAGGAAGGTATTCTGAACAGCTGACTCTCTGAATACCTTCATAACTTCTTTCACCTCTGAATTCCATGAAGGTATGGAATTAAAAGCCATGAAGGAGGTTTCTCCTCCAGTCAGCCAGTCAACTGAAATTGCTCTCATCAAGCTCTTCACTGAGTGAAAAATCATCTCCAGTACAGTCAACCATATCCTTCTTTAAATTTTACCCTGCCCTATCTCCTAGCTCTGTGTTGTCTCCTGTTTCCCATCTGGCTTCTTGAAGTGCTTCAGTATGTCCTATTGAGAATCACTGTCCAATCTTCTATGGAGCTGCAGAGGGCTTGTGCCTTGGTCCCCTCTCTTTTTGCCTCTGTTATTTCTGCATTCTGCAAATTCTTTCTGTGTATTAACTGTAAGGGTGCAATTTCTTCTCATTCTTAACCTTGCTGTGTATCCAGTTTCCAGCTGCATGTTTCTGCTGCCTCCTTTGCATCACACCTAATAATCTAGAGACTGTGTAATATTAAGGATCAATTTCATGAACCAATGGAAGACTGACCTTGCTTTAAATTTGATACAAGGGAAGAGTGGAAACAGTGGAACAGGATTGTCACTTGTGGCAGCAGCCTGTGGGTAGGCTGGGTTGTCTATTAAGACACTGTGCCCCAGACCAAAGCTTTTTTATTCCCTGTACACAGCTGAAATTGGTACTGTTAGGGGCATTTGCAATTTCTTATCCTGCAAAGATCGTTTTCCTCATTGGTTGCCTATCACCCCACTGTAATCCTTCCTGCTATTACCCTGCCCTAATGGAGAGAAAGGAAGAAAATTATAATGATAATAATAATAATAAAAGAATTGGAATATACAAAACAAGTGATGCACAAAGCAATTGCCCACCACTTGCCGGCTGATGCCCAGTTAGTGCCCGAGCAGCGCTCTTCTTCTCCCCCCCCCCAGGCTCAACTTCCCCCAGTTTATATACTGGACATGACATCACATGGTATGGAATATCCTTTTGGCCAGTTTGGGCCAGCTGCCCTGGCTGTGTCCTGTGCCAACTTCTTGTGCCCCTCCAGCCTTCTTGCTGGCTGGGCATGAGAAGCTGAAAAATCCTTGACTTAGTCTAAACACTACTTAGCAACAACTGAAAACATCAGTGTGTTATCAACATTCTTCTCATACTGAACCCAAAACATAGCACTATACCAGCTCCTAGAAAGAAAATTAATTCTATCCCAGCCGAAACCAGGACATACTCTCACTAAAACATTAACCTCTCACAGAGATTAGCGAGTGCTGCCACTCTTTATTCTCTGGTTGTTGTGGGTGTTTTTGAACAAACAGCTTTGTGCCTTTCTCTGATGCTGCCACTATTGGTTCAGCAAGCTCCTGGTGACCATTCCTAAAGCTGCCACATTACCTTTCAGACTTCAGTGGTCACGATCACTTGACTAAAGCCGCTGTCTAGTGTGCTGATTGGCATTGATTTAATTTCCTTTAACCTATTTCTAGTAAGTTGTTCAATGTAGGATTTTTAGTGGCTTTTGGTGGGGGGGTGGGGGAGTGGTAGTGGGTTTTTTAAGTATCACTGGGTACTATGGGGTTCTGTTCTGAGTGGGGCTAAAACATATTATACTAATGCAAATAAAACTCTGCATCAGACATCCTAAGAGGAGTTCTTGTCTGCTTTTAACTTAAACCCATAATTATTTTCCTCCCTAATGTTTGAAGGACTAAGTTAAACAACTTTGAGAAGTACAATTCATTTTTATTTCCTTCTAAGTTTTACTTTCCACTGTGTTCTTCTTTTCAGTTATGCCAATGTAAAGAAGTGCAGCAATGAAGGACGTGCCTTGATGCAACTGGACTTTCAACAATTCTTAATGAAACTAGAAAAGTTAACAGACATTAGGCCTATTCCAGATAAAGAATTTGTGGAGACCTACATTAAAGCATACTACCTAACAGAAAATGACATGGAACGCTGGATAAAAGAACATAGGGTAAGCGTTAAATTTGCATTCTTTTAGTATCTATCAGGAAAATTCACCATGATTATAGAATCATGCTAGCAACTATAAATGATCAATGCTTCTATGTGTTAAAAATGAATATATGTATATATATATGTATATATTCATTTATTATGCTCAAATCTGTATGGGAAGCAGTATAAATATAAATGTGTGTGTGCACATATATGTTCATTATATTTATTATCATATGAAGTTAATATGTGTTTGTACTGATTCAACATCTGATGACTGGGAAGGATTAATAAGCCAATCACATCTACCTACTGTATCAAAAACTGTAGGGAACTAGAGCAAAGTGAAGTTGAAAACGTATGTGTGCTGTTCAGAATAAGCCAAAGTGCACAACTCAATCATCAAGAAGTACGGTTTGAAATCGCACCATGAAGTTTTACTTTGCCTTTAGCAGTAGATTGCTTAAACTAAGTTGTAAGGCACGATGGATAAGCGTAATTGCTTTTTCTTCTGTCATTTAATAATACGAATCAGGGTCAACGTTGCTCTCTGAGATAAGTCTTCATTTGTGTTTTGAAAGCATTTAGCATGCTTTCACGATAGCATAACCTAACAGTTAATAACAAGACTGTGTAAATAATAGTCACGTGCTATTGGAGCTGCCCATTGTTGAAGTGAAAAGCCTTTTAAAATGGAGCTCTTTGAAATCTGTATTTTGGGATTACTTTAAATCCCACTAGGAATGGATGGAAGAAATATGTCTTTAATAATCATTTTCCTTGTTTTACCTGGAGCCACAAGAGAGATTGTGAGCTGTTGTTTGGTGACCTACATGGAAAAACTCTTGTTTAAACCTACTGGTGGAAGTTATATTTTGGATACTGTTAGGTACAAAGGTAGTACTGGCAAATGTGGTGTTTTCACAGGTGTTAAGAATTCTCGACTTAACATTTTTGTCATTTTTTTCCTCCTTTATCATGTACTGAAATTAACATTGTTTGGAGACCCTGTAGACAGAAGTATTTAGAATCTTATTGGAAATGAGAAGTCAAAATAAAAAAGACCATCAGCTTTTGTCACAGTTTGTTTAGAAAAATGTTTTTGTGTTAAAAGCTTATCCCATTTGCATGTGTATTTCCCACCACACCTCCCAAAGAATGGAAAATACATTAAAAATTGATTTATATACATATGTATTCACAGAATTTCTGTCAACTCAGTCCAACATTACTACAGTTGTAAGCATTTTCCATTATAATCTGCCATGTAGCAAAATACAGTTTTGTCCTCTGCCTTAGCTATGAAAACTATCCAGACCTGACTTAACCACCACTTTAAATCTCCCTTGTGTGCTGACTGCTTCTATCAGTTGAAAAGTCCACAGTGTGTATGTCTGCACTTTTAAATTTTCTGTCTTTGTCTGGTGTTTTATTCTGCCATAACATGATCTGCTTTTATTTGCCAGGAATATTCCACTAAGCAGTTGACCAATCTGGTGAATGTTTGTCTGGGCTCCCATATCAACAAAAAGGCAAGACAAAAGCTGCTAGCTGCTATTGACGACATAGACAGGCCTAAAAGATAACTGGAGAAAGCTACTTTCCTTGTGACTTGTACCTTTTTCTGTTCACATGAAGCATGCAGACAAGTCTCTCATGGACTGACAACATTCTCTTAAAAAACATCATGCATGACCTTTCTTACCAGCATTGGAGACACTCTGAATGGCATAATGTTCTAAAATATGTCTTTTCTAATCTGCAGAATTTTTTTCTTTTTTATTTTTTTTTTTTTTTTTTTTTTTTTGTTACTTGCCCTTGGTAAAGGGCCACTGTTTGTGTATCATTGGTGAGCTGTATATTTTGCAACTGTATACTGTAAGTAAGATCAAAATCGGAGAGAAACACATTGGCTTAATATATAGTTGATGCTCTTTTTTAATAAAAGGGCTACTTGAAAATATGACTTCTTTCCTCCCTGCTTTCACCCTCAGAAATTATGCTTTATTATGGACTAGTGTAAAATGAAAGGAAATGTACAGTATTTGATTGATGTATCTTGCATGTGGATTAAGAGTGCAGATCAACTAAATACTCTCATGTTAAAGCCTCTCATCTTCATATGTATTTAAAAATGTCTGTTTATTTCAGAATTAATCTAGTCATATCAAAATGATTGACTTCAGATTAATAGAAGGTAATAAATACTGTACACTAATATGATTTCTTTGTGAGACTTTATTTTCCTAATTCAACAATGCAAAATGTCATTTACAATAGAAATTAGTACTGTTCCTTTCATATTACCTCCCTTTTGTCCCTCTGCCAGTCTTCCTGGTTCCGAAGCCATAGTGCCAGGGAATAGGAATAATGTTTTTTTGGCCGAAGTTTTGGATTGATAATAAGATAATCTGAATATTTCTCGCTCTGCTGTAGACACCCCTAGTGATCCTGAGCAAAGCAAAATTGCTTGGCTGCGTATTTGTCCTAGAAATCGATTTGTCAGAGCGTCACTGATTCCACTGAAGTTTTCAGATTTGTCTTTTTTTTTCAGTATGTAAAGTTTTAGATTTTTTTTTTTAATTACATAATAAACTTTTTGCAGTGCTCTCAGACCTTTTAAAAGGGAATATGGTAGCTAACAGGTAAAATAATTTACATAAGGTACAGTCCACTAATGTATACAACATGGTAAATTCTCAGTTTCAGGTTCATACTTGCCATTGTACTTTTAATTCAAACTTGGGAGAGTCAGGACTTACTGAACAACAGCAGTACTTAGTGACAGAAAATTGCCCTGTAAAATCATTATAATTGCTCTTTTCTGTAGCTTAATTTCCTCTTCAGAAGTGGACTGAGCATCATTGTGTGAGTTCAGTTAAAGCCTGTATACAGTTTTAGAAGAATGATAGAATTTACATTTTAAATATTGACTGTGTAGTATTCAGCTCCCTTGTTCATCTGTATTTTAAACAAAATAAAATTTAAATTTAACACCGTTCTTTATTGACCATGCTGTCATGCTGAGTTCCATTTAAAACTTGTTTAGCCGCATGTCAATGTATATGTTGAAGCTGAATCACTTTTACCCTCATTAAAAAGATGGTTCAAAAAAAGAAAAGTGTAGTTCATGTGGAAAGTGTGGACTTTCACGTCAGTGTTATCTGCCCTGAAGTCAGATCCTCTCGGAAGACATAGAAACGTGTCAGAGACAATTAGTGTAAAATCTGTTTCAGTTTTCTTCTCGTGGATGAAAAAAGAAATTTAAATATCTTTACCAGAGGTTTGGTGAGCTGAACACATGGTTAATTTCTCCTGCACTATTTAGGTTGCTGTAAGTTGATTGCTTACCAAAAGGTAGGAGTGTAAGCACTGACTGGAGTGTAGGGGTCAAGGAAAGAGGTGAGCAACTGCATGAATCATAGTCAGGAGTAATTTTTTGTAGTGTATCTATAGTTTGACTTGTTATTTTTAAGTAAGCTCCCAAATAAAAGAATGTGTAAGATGTAGTGTTAAACCTGTGCAAAAACTGTTTGATCTTCGTTCCTATATGCCTCAGAAACAATTATATTTTCCAGAGGAACCTCGCCTCGCTGCCCAGGATTGATGCTACAGAGGAAGCTACATAGCTTAATGGCCTACATATGCTCTTAGATATATGATTTAACTTTCAGATTGCCCTGCGTGGAGCCAGGAGTTAGACTCGATGATCCTTGTGGATCTCTTCCAACTCAGGGTATTCTATATTACTTGGTCCTCAGTGACTAACAAAGCCAAGTTTTGGCTGAATGTTGAATTATTAACTTACTAAGGGTCTGTTTGGTAGTTTCCGTGCTCTTGTATGAGAATTCTTTACAAACCATTGATTTTTGAGCATCTCTCTACATCTTCATTCTCCTATGGAATAAAAAGCCTCTTACACTGCTTTTTCTGCAGTAGAGAATATGGCTTAAATATCCGTTATGTTTTAGAGGAGTGTTTTGGAATACTCTAATAATAGAAGATTATTTCCTTCAGTCTCCAAGGAGAATGACCAGCACTGCAGAGGTGGGGGATGCATCTGTCAGTCCTTCTTCAGCCTAATCAAGAATTTAAATTCTGTTCCCCAGACACTGAATACTTTCATATTTGCCAAACTCAGCTGGAGCATAAATGACCAATTTTCAAGTCTCTTGTTAGGCAAAGCCTATCCCTGCCCTGATCAGCATACAACTGGCTTTTCTACAGTCACCTTCTCTCAGTTGTATCTAATGGTGATGCTGTTCTCCAAAGAAGCAGCTACTGGGACAAAAATAGGGGAAAGCCAACTGATCGGTTGCTGTCACACTGGTGTAAGATTCAAGTCCTTGCTTTGGTGTAGGTTTAATTATTCAAAGCAGAATGGCATTGATAGGAAAGACCATCTTGGATCAGCAGTGTTTCAGCTGATGGGATAGTGCACAGAGCAGTCCCGGGAGGTGTAAATGCAAGTGCCTGATCTGGGTAGGGACTTGAATGCTCCATGATTTCAGATGAGTAGCTAGGTTTCCAGAACTGACTGTTCTGGATTCCGTTGTTCCCACAGGGGAGAGTCTTCCCACATGTAAATAAAACCGTGGCTTGCTTCTGATCTGCAATGGGAAAAACTAGGCCCTGGCCAGATCTGCTTAGCAAACACTAGGTGTGGGGTGTAGATTATAGCTTGTTGTCCTGGTTTCGGCTGGGATAGAATTAATTTTCTTTCTAGGAGCTGGTATAGTGCTATGTTTTGGGTTCAGTATGAGAAGAATGTTGGTAACACACTGATGTTTTCAGTTGTTGCTAAGTAGTGTTTAGACTAAGTCAAGGATTTTTCAGCTTCTCGTGCCCAGCCAGCAAGAAGGCTGGAGGGGCACAAGAAGTTGGCACAGGACACAGCCAGGGCAGCTGACCCCAACTGGCCAAAGGGATATTCCATACCATGGGACATCATGTCCAGTATATAAACTGGGGGGAGTTGAGCTGGGGGGAGGAGCAGATCACTGCTCGGGAACTAACTGGGCGTAGGCTGGCAAGTGGTGAGCAATTGCGTTGTGCATCACTTGTTTTGTATATTCCAATTCTTTAGTATTATTATTGTCATTTTAGTATTGTTATTACTATCATTGTTAGTTTCTTCCTTTCTATTATATTAAACCGTCTTTATCTCAACCCATGAGCTTTACTTTTTTTCTTCCCTAAGGGCGGGGGGGGAAGGATTGACTGAGCGGCTGCGTGGTGCTTTTAGGGGATAAAAAGGGATCAGTGATCAATGGCTGCCTTAAAGCTGTCTGTGAAAGGTTTGCAGCCCCTTTTAATTTTCATAGATGTGAATGGCAAAGGCATGTGTCGTGATACTGAATGCAAAGCTGTGGATGTGGGTTTTCCTCTTGACTTGTCCTGGTGCCACAGAACACACAAAATTATAACGATCACTTCTCTTACTGTGAAAGTGATATATTTGGGGTCTTTCCCCTTTAAGACCTCGTTCATGGTTAGTGTTTATGAAATTTCTGTATTGCAATTGTATTGTTACTTGGGTAACTCAAACTTTGAATAAAGCCCATGTCTAAAAAAACCACAAACAAAATCCTCAGAAACACACAAGAAAACTCTCCACTCTGATTAAACTGATATATAGTGTTGTCTCTTACCAAAATCCTCAAAAGGCTAAATGTCAGCAGGCACCTGCTGTATTATAAATGATGCAGAGATGGACAAAAAAATGCTGATTTATTGTGTGTGGTTGATGGTATCTACACTGCTTGAAACAGCGTAGCATAAAGACTAAACATTGCACCAGACACTAGGATTATGGTGCAAGTATGGAAATAACGCACTTTGCAAACAACAAAGTTTTGGTGCTTGCTGGCTATTTAAGGATATTTCTGAGTATGTTGTTTTTGCAGAGCCAGAGCTGGTTTTCATCACAGTGGGGACTTGATTTTTAAGGATCTCCTGCTCTTCCATGAGATCCTGAAGTGTGATGTGGAGCAGCATCTTTAAATGGTACTAAAAACTTAACAAGTCTGTGTTGTTTGTTTTTTTAAATAGGCATTAAATCAATAACATGGCATATGATAAAGTATATGCCTGAGAAAGTAATGAGATGAGTAACCTCTTTTTTTGTGTGGTGAATCCATTGCTCAATTTTAATTCGGTGGAGTATTCTGTCCAGTCCCAGAGAGTTTACATATAGCTTATAAGCTAAGCTAAAAATAGCTTAAATGGGTGTGAACTAAACTCGAATCTACTTGGCTGTCCTGTTAAAGAAAGTCCCCCAGTACCACTCAGCTCTGCTGGATCCATCTGAAACTTTGGATCTGGATACATATGTGAAAGAAAAACAACTTTCAGAGCAGAGATGTATAGATCAATGTGTTACATTTGTAGATTATCTTGCATAGATTTCAATATTGTCAGATTTAAAACTGGCAAACAACTGTCTAAATGTATGTTATCTTTGAAAAACAAAATATAAGAGCAAGCTGAAGATCTAGGCAAAGAGATACTGAAGTGCCTCTTTTCACTAAGCACAAAATTAATGGATGATCAGATGTGCAAAGTGACTGCAGGCATTTCTGAAGATGTTTTTTATAAGTAAAGCCAAGGTTCATACTTCTATGTATTTCCTGTCCTGTATCTCTAGTAATTTTTATTCATAAGAACAACTATTCCTAAATAAAAAGTTAACGCATTCGTTGTACGTCGGTAAAGACTAAAATAGAAGTGTCTCTTCAGCCTTAAAATAAAAAGGATCCTTGTACAGGGAAGAAATTATCCTGTGGCAGCTGAGAGCTGCAGGGATGTCACACAGAACATGCACCGTAAAACTGTTGCTTTTGAAATTAATCCATATATTATAGTGTAAATATATACATGCACACAGAGCTTTGTGTGCAATGTAATTCAACCCTGGGGACCACAAAAAAGAATGGCAAAATTCAACAACAAGCAACACCTTGCTGGTGTCTCTGCCATCACTTACATTAACAGCTGACACAAGCCTGGCTAGGTAGTGCAGAGGTGTTTCCTTGTGTGAGCAACTGGTGTCCACTGAGGGCAGGGTCATAGCCTAGGTCTGAATTCAGAGCTTTGAGTACATCTGAGTTACAGTACTGCTCCCACTGCTGCTGACTTTGTCTGCCACTGACGTGTGCTGTGCAGGAAGCATCGGAGCCTGCTGACGAGGAGCTCCAACCCAGCCCAAAACACTGTCAGCATCAGCTTGGACACTGTTGGTGGAGCATGATGCTCCTGCCCTTAAGCAGAGATTGTGGATAGCGAAACTTGCTGTCCTGGCTGCCCCGGGGGACACCTGCTCCAAATGCACGAAACTTGTGGGTTGGAGGATGGGAAGAATCGGGCTGAAAGGTGGTGGTATGTCAGCGTGGTGAGCATGCAGCTCTGGGACAGCTTGCTGTTCTCTTGAAACCTGAAGCCTCAATAAACATGGGTGTTGTCATTGCCTGATGCAGTTATTAGCACAGTACTAAGCACCTGTGAGTTTTCAGGATCGTTTATTTCTTGAAGTGTAGAAAACGTCATTGATGTAAATGGGTCTGACCAGGGGCTGCTTCCTGGCCCTGAGCTGCCAACATCTGCCTCCTCCGGAGCAGTTAGCATATTAAAACAGCCAAATGCTCCAACCAGCTGAACCTTCATGGGTGGTTTATAATGTGCTACATTTCAACTAGACAAAATTGTTGCCATGAATAGTAAT